GGCCTCCCAGTCCCATCTGGTGTGAGAGCTCACTCCACCAGGGGTGTAGCAGCGTCCTGGGCCCTATTTAAAGGGGTACCTGTGAGTAACATCTGTGCTGCGGCCAGCTGGTCTTCACCGCACACGTTTGTTCAGTTTTATCACTTAGATGTGACAGCCCCTTCGGTGGCTCACTCTGTGCTCTCCGCTGGGTCTGACATGCTGCACTAGCATGTTATTATGACCCAAGTTTGGTGCTGCTCTGCGGGGCGTTTATATATGTCCCATACATGATGTTGTACCGAGTGAATTGACTGAAATGGAACGTAATGTTATGCATGTAACTACTGTTCCCTGAAGGAAAGGAACGAGGTACAACACATGGTGGCCCCGCTGCACAGCTGGGCTCGGTGAAGAGCAGTTACCGAACTGAGGAGTGACTGTGATGGCGACAGTATTTATATGTGCAGGCGGAGCCTGACATCTGTCGTCATCACGTCACCTGCCTAAAGGCGTGATGAGAGGTGGCTTCAACCAGGACACGCAGGGGCGTGGTTTCCCATACATGATGTTGTACCTCGTTCCTTTCCTTCAGGGAACAGTAGTTATATGCATAACATTACATTTCTGCAGCTCATCTCCTTCTATTGTTGTTAAATCCAAACATTTTCTCCAATGCTTCAGTACTGGTTATCAAAATATACAACAGCTTAATCAACTTTAGCCTAAGGTTGGACGATATGTAACATTTTTACAACTGATATTCAACAAATGATGATATATTTGCCCAGGTGACGTTTGGACTTTTTGTGGGCGGAGCTATGTAAATCAAGCACGGAGTGATTTGCCAGTTTAGAACCCTAATGTCTAAAAACATAGGAACCTAAAAATAAAATAAAATAAATACAAAGTCGCCTTTTTTTGGATAATATTGGCTTTAAACCAAATAAAAAAGATAAACCATACTGGCCACAAGTTTCCCCTATCCCTACTGTATAGTTTTTGAATTTTTCATTAATTTCTTTATATTGTTTGCATCATTTTTTGTGTAATTTTATATTTGTCGTTTCACATTTAGTCATGTCTGTAAGACAGATAAACACTTGAAATACAGTTGTACAGGGGTAAAACAAAAATACCTAGTCTCTGTTTTCCTCCCCAGMATTGTGGTTATTGTTTAAATAAATGTTTTTTCTTAGTAAATATAGCGTCGCTGCATTTGAAGGCACACTGGGGGGAAAATAAAAAACTGCTGGAAAAAGTCTGTGCACCATTGAAAACATCAATAATATGTATATATTAATGC